CACAGCACCTGATCCTCCAAGTGCGAGACAAGGAACGTTTCTGGAGACCCTCCCTACTACATAGCAGGCACTGTGCTAGATGGGCTTGGTGGAACATTATCCAAATTCCTGTTACACAAACAAGTGTATGCCCAGGCGGGATTTATATGCGAGTGATACGTAATTTCACCTACCATCAAGTCTATTCGGGAGTCTGTGGAAGAACCAGAATATGGCAGTTGTGGGTCGCACAATCTAGTTATTCTTGGTGTTTACAAGAAGGGTAGTATCACCTTGAATCTTTCTAACTATGAGCTTTTACATTTGTAATACATTGAAGACAGCCCGGTGTTACTGTACGAAGACAAGTATCATGCAGAAACACCCCGATGTTATGCTTGGTAATACGCAGTTATTTCAGGGCGACTGCTGTGTCTGGCCGCCGTGTGGATGTTTTGAGAGCTGATGTCAATCTATTGTTTATGTCCATTCCCTGGAAGGGGATGCATTTTTACCTCAGATTGAAGTCTGGTTCTGCAAGCGCAAAGGCAACTGTCTAGTAGCCGGAGGGTAAATCAACAGCTGTGAGGCCACCCACGCATTAAGGACACAGCTCTCAGCTGTCTCTCCATTCGGAGCCCCAGTTGGTCCTGACCCCATACAAATTTGGTGTTCTCGCTTTGATGTTTATGAACCGATTGCATTTAAATGCAGGATAATGATTCAGGGGTTAGAAAAACTGTTATTTATACAAATGTGGTTAACACCTCATCATTTTAAACTGGCTGTGCTAATAATGCTCATTGTGCTCTTTGTTTTTGGGTTTTTTTGCCCAAATCTGCAATCTGAATTTGCTCTGGCAGGATGTGGCTTGTACTGGAATAGACTGGAACTGCTGGACGACTCCAGAGGGCTGTGACTGAAGGCATTTCTTCAGGGAACCTCCTAGCCTACGTGGTGCCTGGTGTCTGTGGGTCTGGCGGTTCTCCAACTGTCCTTGTTCACGTATCATAAATCTGTTCTTTTAGGGAATCAATAAGATTTAAAGTTGGATGTATTCCTTCTGAAAACTATAGACAATTACACTAAAAAAACGAAATGCTATTTGTTATTAACAGTGGCCTCATATTTAAGGACAATAGCTACCTGGGGAAATAATGTAATTACAAAGCAACTTAATTTATCTTCTCCAAAATACAAATAGTGAAAAAAGAAACAGACAATGATTTAATCAATAAAATTACACCAAATATTTATATACGCTTATATTATATCCATAAAAGTTTATCAGAAGAACTCACAGATATGATTTCAAAGCTTACTGATTCATTATCAGACTAAATATTTGCTAATTTTACTCTCTTCATAGTTAGATAGACCACCACTAGCTACGTGCAGCTTTTAAAATTTAAAGTATTTAAAATTAAATAAAATTTAAAACTCTGTTCCTTTGTATCACTAGCCACACTGGAAATATTCGGTAGCCACTTGTGCTAGTGGAGATATAACATATCCAGCAACACAGACAACCGTATTGGACAATACTGACTTGGACACTGAAATTATAAGGAATTAGCTCAGTCCTATAACACACATCCTTGCTTACATCCTTGGTTGTAAATGCTGCCTAAAAAGAGCATTTAACAGACAGCTCAATACATACCCCTGCAATTGGAGGGACCAGGGGAAAAGGGGGAACAGGTGAGCAGTGCTGGACAAAAGAAAACATGTTCTATAACTGTCTCAGAGGACACCTCTCCTGAGCACAACAGGTTCATCAACCATCTAGACAAAAAGCCCGTAACTGTAACTCCCTAAAATTATGCTTAGTAGCCTGGATGAAAAATATTCATGTGGTTCTCTAAGCTAGAAAGCACTCTTCAGAAAATCTAAAATTATTTAAGAAGCATTAGAAGATACCTTCCATCTGTAAAATTCTGATTAAAGTTATTACAACTTAGTATTTTGTTAAAGATCAATCACGGTTGTAAATGTCTTTCATGGACTTTAAAGACCATCCTACTTCCAAATTTGTTCACAGGTCCTCTTGATTAATAAATTTAGTCAAGCTTCAGAGAAGTTCACCCAGTGAAGAAGTTCGCCAGGCCTACCTTGGCTGCAATAGTCGCTAAGATTCATCTATCCAGCTGGCCAAAATTCAGACCACGGTTTCCTCGCTCCTGCAAATATCCGCAGGGCTTAACGGTCTACCTATGACTAACATACCAAATGGAGACAAACATCACATTAATCCTAAGAGATGCATTTAAGGAAAGAACAGAATGAATTCTGCTTCCTTCGCTTAACTTTCTCATTTTAATTTAAGTCAAGAAGCAATCGTAAAATTATTCCACATCTAAGTTAAAAATGTACAACTTGCTATTTTACATACTGCTATAGACTATGTGTCTTCCCAAATTCATCTATTAATGCCCTAATCCCCAATGTAATGGTATTTGCAAGTGGAGCCCTTTGGAAGGTAATTAGGTCACAAGGGTGGAGCCCTTATGAAGGGGATTAGTGCCCTTATAAAAGTGACCAAGAAAAGATGATCTCTCTCCTCCCTGAGCGAAGACACAAGAAGTCAGCTGTCTCCAAACCAGAAAGAGGGCTCTCACCAGACATCGAATCTGCTGGCACTCAGTTGAGGAACTTATTATCCTATAGAACTATGAAAAAAGTCTGTTGTTTTAGCCACCCAGTCTATGATATTCTGGTATAGCAATCTAGGCTAAGGCAGACAGACAGACACAGATACATACACGCTTTTCTTAAGAAATTACAAAGGTTCAAAAACATATTCACTAATTTTTCAAATGTTTATTATTTTTTAAAAACATTTATTTATTTGAGAGGGAAATGGAGAAAGAGTCTCCCAAGCAAGCCCTGCACTGAACGTGGAGCCCAAGGCGGGGCTCGATCTCATGACACCGAGAAACCAAGAGTCAAGACACTCAACCAACTGTGCCATAAGGCTCCCCTCAAATGTTTATTTAAAAGTGAAATTCATGTTGCACATACATAGCAACATACTAAACACAATAATGGTACTCTAAAGTCATGAAAAAGCCCAAAGAAATAAAACTTCCATCCCATTTCACTTAGGACTCTTTTCAGCACATGTATTTATAAAAATCTAAGATAAAAACAACAAAAAGGAAATAAAGCTAAACAGGGAGCAAAAAAAATTATCCAAAGTTTGCAAAAGTATTGCCTCATTTATTTGACCTCCTCCTTTCTCTGCGATAGAAATACTTACTCTCTGTGGAGGCTTCCTTTACAGGCATTTTAGGCCTTACAATTTCTTTAACTTCTCAGCAACGCAATTTATATCTACAGTTTGCTTACGTTTCTGTTCACACTTCAACCTTGGGAAGTCTCTGCTATTATATGTTTAACTAGGGCATCTTCAGGCATCTGTGGACTGTAACCAGAAGGCTTTGTAACCAAGTACTACACTCTCACCACCTGAGGACCAGCACAGGTGGCAGAATTAGTTGGTGGTCACTGAATATTAGGTCTATTCATATATGCAAGACACAGTAATCAAAAGAGCCCTAAGATTTCCCAGAATATAAACATTCCCTTTCCACTTCCTTGTAAAACACACACAAAATATTTTAAAGAACTTGGGACTTACCCTCAAATAAACCTTCTGGAACCTCCTCGCGGGTCATTTTCAGCCCCGAGTACCGAAGGTGAGCCTTCGGACCATTCCAGCTAAAGGGCTTCCACGGTACGCTTTTCAATGAGCAGAATAATATTTGATCTATGTAGAATTCTAAGTAACCTGAAAATAAATCCAATACTCCGACTCCAAGCTAAAGTGCTAAACTACTAAGATGATTCTAAGTGTTTTCAGCCTAAAACAGGTATTAATTTTGACTCTGAGAGCTCAATGCCTAAAAACAATTAATAACCAACACTAAACTATGCTAAATATTGACAACATTCACGACAGCCATCTAAATATCCACATAAGGGGATAAGATAATAGCTAGTTACAGGTTACCTGGTAACTATTTTCCATAGTCTCTCTAAACAAATAAAAATTGTCTTTTTATTATTACAATACTCTAACTAGTTAACAAAAATAAAATCCAAATATTGTTATATCGAGATAAAGCAGGGAAGATCTAGAAATGTGGTTCTTTTTCTCTTCCCTAGTTAACTCAAAGACAATGTAGGAAGATGGAACAGATGCAGATCCATCTGACTGATGTGAAAAGAATTTAAATGTTGTAGGTAAAATACTTGGGGAAGAGGTGCCAGAGCTAAAATATTTAAAACACTCATCTCAAGATATATATTTTGTTTCTAAAATAATAGGCTCATCCTTGGATTTATATTAAAATGTGATGGTATTTTGCTTATATATTGCATAGCTAAGATGCAACAATACTAAAACATACAAAATATCCCACTTTTATGACAGAAATTATTTCATGTACTTTGAATATGCTTTATAGCATTCTAACATAAGTGATAATTTTTTTTATACTGGCAAATCACCTTTATTTTAGAATAAATAATTTCTGAAAGAAGAATATCTGCCTGTGTTCTCTTCCTTATTTTCTGTTAAAAAATCTTGCCCAATTTTTTTAAAAAACTATGTGAGTTTATGTTTCAAAAATATTTTAGTAAATAAAAAGTTACCTACTCATTTCTATCATCCAAATGTACTATTCAGAAGAATTTTTGCAAAGCTTTAATATGATCCAGAACAAGATTAAGAGCAAAAAAGAAATATAATCTTAAATTCTGGGGAGAACAAATTTTTAACTGCTGCAAAGAATTTTCTTTTTCAAAATCATGTATGTGTTAAGTGATAATGAAATATCCACCTGCGGTAAGTTATATCATGATAGTGAGCACTCTTATTATTTGGAGGAGTATTGGTTCGCATTTATTTATGTTACCTGACAAAATGGTAGTTCTATAATTTAATAAAACACTTAAGTTCAGAAGTTGGGATAAATACAAAAATGCATCACTTGATATCTTAAGTGTACACCTTCCTTTATGATAACAAGTACCAGGTCATGGACTAATTTAACCTTGGATAGGTAATACCTGTAACACTCAAATGGGCTTGAAAATATACACCTCTCCGCTCCAGCATAAGTTCAAGGGGAGCATGCAAGTATGTGCAGATGAGTGGTAGAAGGGAACTATTTTTATGATGGAAAGATGGGAAAAGGAATGGATCCCTTTTTTAAAAGGAACAGATCACAGTTATTAAACAATTCCTTTATAAACTTTAGATTTTAGACTTAGTCTCAAAGAAATTTTGGAATTATATTCAACAGTCTTACTTTCTTTTGGTTTAACATCTAGATACTAAGCCACCTAATTTAATCATCTTTACGGGAGCACCAAGGAACCAAATCTCCAAACAGATGGAGCATTCCGACGAGACCACCTGCAGCCTAATAACTCTCCTGTTTCCCTGGTCAGTCAAACCAAGCAGGAGAATTTAAGCTAATTCAAGTGTCAGGGAAAAGCTGGGGCAGGGCGAGAGTCTAAAACACGTCAAATATGCTTTCTAAGAAATTATGCCTCACTGCATAAGTTAAACATGAGAATTTCCACCTCAGTAAATCTCTCATACAAAAATAACCTAACACTTATGTATGTTTTAGCATATAAAAGGACATAATAGAAAAGCAGAGATTTGGTGTGTTTCTTAAATCTTACATAGCACAAGTTCTAAAAATGAAATCATCACGCTAAATCAGAAATACTATCATGTTAAATTACACTACACAGGTTTCACAATAGCTCACCAAAACAAATGCCATAAACTCCCCTCACGAAAGTACAAACACACAGAACCAGTAAAGTTGGAAACCTGAAAAATATTAACTTCAGGGAGTTCATTTTAATTATGAAAAGCACTGCATTTCTAGAAACTGCTGATACTGCAACAAAATACCAATATCCATGACCAACACGTAAACTTATAATGATCTGGGCAAAATGTGCATCTCGCTAGTTAAGCAGTAATACTCCTTTTTACATGTTTGAGAAACAATGCTTAAAATCATACAAGGTTTGAAAAACTTAATTTAACAAAGTTTTCACGAAAAGAGAAAACACCCAAGTTGGTAATAGTAAAAGTCTTTTGGCTTTCTTACAAATGATAGCTTCACAGCCGCATAACTCTGAGAACACAGAGCATTTTGCTAAGAAAAATACAATGACTGTACGCTGTGTTTCCTCTACAGTCTTATGTATCCGAGTCGCTCCCAGACCCTGGCTCACTGGTTATCCGCGTCATCACTCTCTTTGTCCCAGTCTTTCATGGATGCTCCCATCATGAAATCATCACGTAAGATTGTCCATCCAGGGCCCTCTTCTGATTTCACTTCAGTCTGAGGACAATTACAGAAACAAAATATCAAAAGGCAATTTAATCATAAGGAAAAAAAAAAGCCCAAGCTACAAAACTAACTTATCAACACTTAGTTTCAGAACAGGAATGAAAACAAGACAAATTATAGTTAATTTACACACTGTGATATAAGCACAAATATGTAATAGAGCTATACGTTAATAAACTATTTTTAACCCCATAAAAAATCACGGAAGCAAAAAAACCTTTTATTGGCAGGGGGAGAGAATATAGTAAAATCTAGGTTTGCTATCAATTTTTAAAATCTGGCTATCGAAAAGACTTAAATATTATTTAATGTTTATGGATGATTTATTAGAAAAATTCTGGCAAACTATTTTAAAACAAATAGAAATTTAACAAAGCCTTATCATACAAAATAAGAGAGAGAAAAGGAGACTAACTTGGTACTGTGTTAGGTTTTTATAGATGTTATCTCATTTAACATTTGATAAAAATGTGAACCAAATGTTCTTTATTTAGGTTATGATCTCACTGCCTGACCTAATCATGTAGTCAAAAGACTAATCACATGCTAAAATGATAAATAACTGAAGCAGGCAATAAACATAATAGGTAGTCAATTTTGCTTATTTATAGGATTTACATAAAACAATGACAGCCTAGGAAGTACAAACTTGAATTTCATGGTACAACAGCACCACCTCGTGGTACTAATTAAGTAATACAATATATACGACCTCAAGTTCTGGGATTTCCTTCCTTCATTCCACGAATGTGCTTCAAGCACTGTTCTTAGTGTTGGAAATACATTCGTGAACAAAACAAAGTCCCTGTCTTCTGGGATCTAACAGTCTACACCTTTCTATTTAAACCATTCATAAAATACAACGTTGGAAAAAACTCCCTAAGTATGCAAGAACCCATGATATTTGGCTAGAAAATAGTATTATCTTTACGAGAGCTATTAAACATATAAAAAGCAATTTTTAAGAGAAAAGATATTAAAGACATTTCCTGGGTTACAAGAGATTACTTATCTAATTCTGCTGAAGCTATCTTTTATTTTAAAAACCATAGCCCCCAAATAGCCATTCTATTTAGGAAAAACAAGGACACTATTACAAAACAGGAAAAATATCCTATTGGATTTACCCCTGTCTTCCTGGGATCAAAAAATCAAGCAAAGTTTGTACCTAAATGTAAAGACTAGAGAGTATACAAATTGAGCAAAGATTTCAGAATTGTCTTAAGTCAAACAGCATGCTCTGTACTTTAACTAAACCAACACAAAGAAAGAAAAAATATCGGTGTTTTTAGAAACCAACACTAAAACAACTGCAAAGCTTCTCATGCCCACACTGATATGGGAGTGAGCAAGTAAGAAAGGAATGTGTAACTCTCCTCACGGAGCATGCTCACACCTTCCCATTCCTCATTTCTACAGTTCCACACCTACCTTCCTAAAACTATTCTTGCTTCTGTTCGATTTAGTTACCTAACTGGATAAAGGCTATTTTTTTTTATTCAGCTCAAGATTTCTTTGCCAATCTCCTCACCTTAAGTAAGAGAAAAAGCTGTTCCCTTGAAGAGAACCACTTAGATGCAACCACAATCAAAACACGTCTCCCGCCACAGTAATCGTTCAAAATTTTCAAGTAAATTCTAAAAAGTATATGACTCCTGGTATAGGAGTTATATGCAAGTTATATGCAAGTTACTGACTAGTAAAGACTTAACTCTGACATTGATGTTCGTGTTTACACATGAACAGGCACAATCTCTGTGGTAAGCTTCCATGTACAGAGTTACACCCAACGCGCTGTCAACATGCCCCAAACCACGGGAAGGCAGACCCCTCACGACTGAGCTCAGTGTAGACTGTTTCTACGTGAGAGCGCATCCTGACAGCCCACCTCGGCAGGACTGTGGGTTACTCCTCTACTAGGCTGCATCATAAAAGCTGTTAGCACCCGAAAGAAAAGGAAGGAAGGAAGAAGAGTAGAACAGGGACAAAGCCTTAAACAGGTAGTTCAGAAAGAAAGAAAAGAACCATAGCGGACCAACGGAAAGAACTCACTAATTAAAATGTTGAAAGCAACTGCCCAGCATGCTTGTCTTGAAAGACAATTATGCAAACATATATTTCAGGCAAAGAGAACAATCATAGTAAACTCAAAGCATCTCTCAACGGTCCAATGCAAAGAGTAACAATGAAGTAAAGCTTTGTTGGGGGATTTTGGTTGTACTGGTTTTTTTTTTCAGCAACTGACTGTCTATATCAATAATTTTCCAAGTGTGGTCCCCAGACACTGATACTAGCTAGCATCAGTATCACTTGTTAGAAAATGAAAATCTCAGGCCCCATTCCAGACCTCCTGAATCAGAAACACTGGGGGCTGGAGCCCGGCAACCTCTTTTCATAAGTCATCCAGTGCTTCTGACACAGATACAGTCTGAGAACCACCAGTCTATAAAAGAACAAATAAGTCTTAGTTTCATTCTCTGCTACAAGACCAAGTACACGTTATAGCTGAAAGCGAAAAGGTTTCAGATTCTGGAAATCCAATGTTAGGACACCTCACTAGATGTTTTTTAAGTCGCCATCATCCAAGCTCCCACATTACAGTGCTATTTTTATACTGTGAAGCAAAAATATGGACAAAAACAATGGAAAACTTAGTACAAACAAGTATGGGTTAATGTATTTTAAAAAGCAGGTATTTTTTATAATATTTGTCCCGATGGCAGTGCAAGAAACACTCTGTTTTAAAGGCAACAGGATGACCCTTTACTTTCTATGCCTACACTTGCTAAAGTAATACACAGCCAAGAAAAAAGGCGGGGGTGGGGGGAAGTCCACGTAAGGTGGCAGCTTGAACATACACAACTAGTCCTGCTCAACTGCAAAACTCACTAAAACAACAGAAAAGTGCCTTGTTATTTTAAAGACATAATTCACAAGGAAAAGATCTAGAGATACAACAGTAACAGCGTGGAAGCGAGATGGGCCAGAAGACTGTCTCGTCAAAGCCAAGAAAGCGCGCTCCTAAGACTGCAACTCTCAAGACGTGACAAACCCAATTTACACAGCCGGATCTTCAAGAAACCAATCAACCAACCAACCAACGCCCCGGGAACTAGCATTCGCTGGGTACTTCGGGAATTGAGGATAGGAACGGAAGGATCAAAATAAAGACAACTGGGAGAACCTTATGTTGAGAAGCAATCAGATCTCTGGGTCCCTTTCCCCATTCCACACTAGCTGGGTGGAAGACTGAAGCTTTACCCTCCGGAGAGGTAACGGGCTACGCACGGATGAAGGCACAGGTGCAGTACCAGAAACAGGGAACTAAGTTATCCCCCTGCTTCCCGATAATGAGTCTCAAACCTCTTCTCACTTTGGGCTCCCAAGAACACTGGGAGGCAGATCTTTCCCTTCAGGCAGGAAATCAGGAACAGCCTAGAGAAAATCTGGCCAGTCGCTAATAAAGAGCCCACAGAGAGAACACCACACGACGGCTCCTGTCACACGCGCAACACCCGCACGCTCACTTCACTGCCTCTTTGGAATTATTTGTTCTAAATTATGAACAGACGACTAAGGACTATCAGAAAGGAAAGAGAGGATAACAAACACAAACATTTAGAAAGCAGCTTGTAGGAAAACAGAAGTGTTCAAAGAGAAGAAAATTTCGGGGAAAATACCATTAATATATTCAAAGAGTTAGGAGATGATAGTGCATCCACACAAGTGGTTGCTATTTAAAAAGAAACATTAAGAGAATAACAAGGAGCTTGAAATTAAAAACATGATGGCAGAAACAAAACATCAATACAAGGGTGAGAAGCTAAAGCTGTGGAAATCAGCCAGAAAATAGAGTAAAAAGAAACAAGTGATGGAAAACAGAAGTCAGATAACGGGAGGACCAGTCCAGGAGGTTCAACATACAAATAACAAGTATACAAAGAGAACACAAAAATGCAGGGGAGGAAACCAATGAAATACTTCAAGAAAATTTCCCAAAAGTAAAGGACACACACTTCCAGAATAAAAAGAGCCCTCTGAAAACACAAAAGAAACAAAAGAAAACAAAACACAAAAGAAAAACCAAGCCACATCAAGGACATCATGTACAATTTCAGAATAATAGGTACTGAAAAAATATCCTGCAAGCTTTCCGAAAGAGAATAAACAAGTCACATACTTAGAGATGATCAGGAATTAAAACAGATACAGATTTTCCTATAAGCAACCCTATAAGCAAGAAAGCACGAGATACATTCTTTCAAAATGCTGAAGAAATAATTCCCAACTTAAAATGCAATACTCAGATACACTGTTATTCAAGTATGAGGAAAGAACAGAGGTACTTTCAGACTTGTAAGGTACCCAAAAGTTTACTTCTAATTAAGCCTATCTCAGGGAACTACTGAGAACGTCCTCCACAAAAACGGAAGAGTAAACCAAGAAGACAAAGACACAGCATAGAAGAAGTAGGCAGTCCAACAGAAGAAAGAGAAGGGAAGTTCCAGAGTGACAGTAAATGGAGACTCGAGAATGGTAACTGAGCATCGGGCACACAGACATCTCAGAACATGGCATGATACCTTAACCTGACAAAAACACTGAAGATATGCTTCATCAAAACAGTGGGAGTAAACCAAGAAAGAAGAAATGTGATCCAGTAAATATGAAATCCAATCCAGAAGAAATTCCAAGGATCACAAAAAATCTAAGTCCCAGGATGACAACTGTGACGGGCAAGCAGCCCAGAAAAAGGAGAATGGGTTAGTCTAGGAGAGAACAGCTCAAAAATACATTACCCGAGGTAATTTGATTTTGAAAAACTAAATAAACTAAGGAAGTTACATATGAAAATCAAGGCGATTATTAACTTAAGGAAAAACAAATAGAAAGGAAACAAGTTAAGAATACAGAGAGGCATAAATGCCAATGTAACGAGCTAAAGGAGTAAAAAGTGGTTGTCCTGGGGTAGGAGCCACAGAGAATAGGCA